ACACAACAAATCGAGCTTTATAAGTTTGTACATTTATATCCATGTCGGTCTTCTTCTTGAAGACTCATCTACATCTAATGGTTTTAAGACCAGGTGTAAGATCAACTAGGTTCCAAACTTAGTTATCGTAAATGGAGTGCATCTCGCTGTTTGTTTCCTTATTCCATTTTATAGCCTTTAGGCTCGTTATGGCTTCCTAATAGTTGTGCGGCTCATTATCGCATAAAAGTTTATCATCCTATGAAGTAATATGGAATCCATAAAACTTTGGTTGACGACATTCTCTATCAAATCCACGAGGTAGTGGTAGAAGTAAATTAGCAAATCAGATTCCTCAATAGGTTGTTCAACCTCTTGTTATGGTCTAGTGTCAACTTCAGGCTTTTTATTGGTTGTTTCTTGAAACAGCGTTCAAACAACAAATTGAATAAAAATGCATATGAAGAAATGGCAATTAAGGCTTTGCGGAAAAATTAGTTTATGAAAATGCGTTCAAACGAAAAATCGAATAAAAAATGATTTTGTTAATGCTTTAAAGCTTTCACGTTAAGGGCCTAAGAATTGGAGTTGAAGAATATGCTATCAAGTATTAACATGATCATATATTCTTAGATTGTAATGTTTCATCTTTCCTCCATTCTAGTTATGTCGATGTGATAGTGTATATCCAATAACATACTACCATGTAATCTAGTTCAACCAAAAATTCCAAATTTTCACAATATTTAAACAAAATTGAAAATTTGATAGTTACTTTTTATAATTTTGAAAGATCCAGATGAAATAAATAATATTGAAAATTGGTTACTAGCTAGTAACGTTCGTTATCCATTTTGATGTTTGATTTTTAAAGAAGGAAACTCATGTAAACATTGTAAATCAAATAATTGATTTTATAATTTATTCACAACAATGAAGTTAAGTGATTAAACCTCTTAATAGTTACATCTGTCCAGATTTAAACAATACTTTATTCACAATTTTGTTGGTGATTTTATTCGCTAATAGTATTTTAAGTGTAATGGATTACTTTGTTGATTAAAAACAATCTCATTAACATTAAACAAGTAATGGTGGTGCGGATTGCACATTTGTGTTAAATTTGTTCAAGATTCAAAGTATTTTGTTATTTAGGGGTGAAGCCCTGAACAAATAGGGGCATCGCCTCTGGAAGCGAGGTCCAAGGGAGCCCTGGCAGGGTCCGAGGGGCAATGCTCAATGCTCTTTGCTGTGGTCGAGCTGACATTTATATTTCATTAGAAATCCGAAATTTGAAAATTTGACCCGTTTTAACTTTGTCTAAACTCTTATTGAAACCCGGTTTTGTGACAGTTTATGACTGTTGGTAACTGTCTTGTGACAGTTTACAGACATAAAACTGTTTTGTGATAGTTTTCAGACAAAGATATACATAAACATTTTTTGGTCATATTTTCTAGTGAACACACGAAAATCATATCTTCTCATTCTCTGTTCTTGCATATCATTTTTTAAGTCATATACAATTGTTGATTTCGAGAATACCTCTAAAATATTTTAATTTGAAAATGTGATTAGCATTCTTAGAGTTCCAAGTCATATCATATCCCAAATCTCTAACAAACTTGATATACCTCTATAATAACAATATAACATCGAGTTTTTCGTTAATAAGAAAAGTCTCTTTTGCCTAAAAATTGACATCTAGACCTTTCTCTTGTGTTTGCCGATAGAATCCCTTTCGCTATCACTTGGATTGTTGTCACATTGCCAAAAGCTTCCAAATGAGTAAACTTAAACATCAATCATATGAAAACAATATTTTCCAAGCAAATCTCGATCGTAGACGTACTCTTTTTATCCATACTACTGCAATCTAAATCGACCTAGTATGAAATTACTTCCACAATAAGTTCTTTTGTCAAATATACCACTCTCATTGATGCGTATTGAAATCTTTAACTTGCTTTTTAAGAAAAATTAGCAACAACTTTTACTTATATTCACTAAATAATTGGTTATATCATATGTAACCCCGTAATCTAAATTTGCAAGACGTGGCAATATGGCAGAGGGGTTTTCTTGGAACAGCAAAAATTTCTGTTCGATAAGGACCAAAACTTTTACTTATAATCGTTAAAAAAATTCATTAAACACTATGCTTATTTATGGTTCCTACAATTAATATCCTTTTTGTTTTTAATGCAAATTTCTACATTCAAAAATAAATTCCCATGATTAAATAGTATTTATAACTTTTTTAGTAAATCATAGTTTTGGTACAGCGTCCTATTTTAGAAAAATTGATATCAAGCTTTGTCATTGTTTCAAAATCCTTTATAAACAAGGTATCAGTGGATGAGTTGGTAAAGATATCTTTTTTTTTTTTAACAAATAAAGACGAGTTCGATTCCTGATCATATTATCGGCAATCTTTTAAAAACCGATTTTTTAATTGAATCGGTATGGTGAACGGTTCCCAATGTAACCGGTTCAACCGTCAGTTCATTCACGTTTCTAAACTTTTTATATTTTTTCTTATTTTCCCGCAAACACATCTTCAAACAATAAAAAGACACATAAAAAAACAAGTTCAAAACATTAAAAATTAATAACAATAATAATAATAATAATAATAATAATAATAATAATAATAATAAAACAAGTTGTAGATTATTCCCTGAGTTTTAAAAAAAAAAAAAAAACGGTTTGAATCGGTTAGACCGGCAACTGGTCAAGCAAGCGGTTCAATTAGTACATGTTTATTGTTTATTTTTAGAAAGGAATGAACCGACGGTTTTTACTAAAAACCTGTTGAACCGTTTAAATTGAACTAGTTGAACCGTTTAAATTGAATAAAAGCACATTGTAATAAAACATTTTATATAACAAACTTTTGTGGATTTTTCAATGCTATTTAGATTTCTTTTAAATTGAATAAAAATACATGTTAAATGTTATAAAACTTTTTGAAACGTGTGTATTCATCTAAAATACACTTTGTTTTGGTAAAATGCTTTATTTTCTTTTTAATTTATGTGTATTAATATATAACTTATGATTATATATTTTTTTAATGTATTTGAAACGATCTACAACTTGTTTTTATGTATATTTTAATGTTTTGATCTTGCTATTTATGTGTACTTGTTTGAATTTGTGGGTGGGTGCAAATAATAATAATAAAAAATAAAAAAAAATAATAATAAAAAATAAAAATAAAAAACATAAAATTTTTAGAAGCTCTGCTGAACCGACGGTCGAACAGGTTAAACCGGAACCGTTCACAATACTGGTTCAATTAAAAAACCGGTTTTTAAAAGATTGATCATTCCAAATAGATTAAGAAAACGTATAAACCATAAGTTTTATATTAATACATATAAATCAAAAAGAAAACAAAGCATATTACTCAAACAAAGTATGGTTTTAGATAAATACAAACATTTCAAAAAGTTTCATAACATTTAACTTGTAGTTTTATTCAATTTTAGTAATTTTTAAATAGATGTAAAAAGACCACCTAAATTTGTTATGCAAAATGTTTTATATATGTATGTTTTTATTCAATTTAACTGGTGCAATTTAAATGTCTCAACCACTTTTTTTTTTAAAACTCATCGGTTCATTCCAATCAAAAAATAAAAATAAAATTAGTATTAGTTGAACCGTTCACTTGACCGATTCAACAATATATATATATATATATATATATATATATATATATATATATATATATATATATATATATATATATATATATATATATATAAACAGAAATCTGATAATGTCACTTTCAACAATCAGAACCATTCATTGGATTTCTTTGATTGATTTCAACCCTTAGATCATTCTTAGTATTTCTGTTGATGTCATCCTAACAAACACAATTCATTATTTATTTTCGTCTATCATAACTACATCCCATATTCAAATCGAAAAATTACCCACCAAATATGGAAACTTAACTAACCATCAACATTATCCTAATTTTAAATTTTAAAAATAATCCTAAAATGTTCTACATTATCTATCCTAAAAACATTTTGAAATTCAACATTTAAGGGATAAGATAAAAATGACTTTTATCTTATCCCTCCAAAACCAACTTGGGTTCAATACATATATATGTCATATTCCGCCAAAATCCATTTTTATTTTTCCTTCCACGCTCCTACATAAGGTGGGTTTTTATTGTGTTTATCTATGTTTTTACCTCTTTGTTTATATTGATATTCACGATACTAAATCAATACTTCTTCCTTTCTACAACCTTCTATAGCAGTAAACAATTGTTAGCTTGGTTAATCAAAGGCAAAAGGGTACGCATTTCATTGTATATCAATACTTCTTCCTTTTTACAGCCTTCTATATGATAGGTGTTCATACTCTTTTTTTGCTTTGTTGTCTTCTGTGAAAGATATCAACATACTATATATGTTTTGATTTGATACCATCCTACTTCCATTAATCCATAATTGCAGCCAACTATTATTTTGATAAATACAATTTATGTTTATTTTTGTTTTTTTCATGGTTAGGTATGTCAACCGAGAATGTATATATTAATTGAGCAACATCATATTTACATTAAACAAAAACCTTGTGAATCTTTGAATTACGTTGTTCACTATATCTCATAATTATCTCTAATACTTTTCTATTTCTCATAGCATAAGCGAATTGACACATAACAGTGACAGTGAAATCGTCATTGATAAGTTGGCTGACATAGATGCCTCCAAAGAATCATGGAATATTCGTGTTCAAGTTGTCATGATTTGGAAACAAACATACAAAAACAAGCCAAACATGGTCAGCAGCTTGGACATGATTTTAATGGACCAGGAGGTAAGATTAAAATAATATGAAAAAACCTTATGTTTTATTTTTGTTTCATATAATAATATTCATTATCACCTACAAGGCACTAGAATACATGCAACAATCAAAAAATTCTCATAAATGCATTTCAAGCCCTCCTAGAAGAAGGAGCTGTAAGGCAAATCACTAACTTTTATATGGCCAGAAACGAAGCTGATTACATATTGGTTGCTCACAAGCATAAGATAAATTTCTACAAAACAACCACAATTCATGTATCAACTGCTTTTGTTGATAGGATCGATCCTTTTAATTTTGTGAGTTTACACGATCAGAGAACAAGAAATTTTGACACTCATGTTGCATTTGGTGAGTTTTTTTCCCTTAACAATTTTGCATTTATTATATTATACATTTTAAACCAATTTATATTATAATAATTGATTCAATTTTACTTTTTGTAGATTTTATTGATCAAGTTGTATCTATTGAACCCATAAGAGTAATTAAGGAGAATGCAAGGGAAACAAGGTTAATGAGTATTGTTGCACAGGTTCTGAGGTATTTTTCATTTTTCATTATTTTATCATGTTTAATATTTTATTCTTATAACCCAAACAATCAATTATAGTGGTAGGAAAATGCAAGTTGCTTTATGGGATGGTTTTGTATTGAAGTTGAACAGCTACATATCTGAACATCAAAATGAAAATGCTCCTGTGATCATCCTCCTACGTATAGCAAAGCTCAAGACTTGGGGTGGTAAGAATAATTATTTTTAGATGTCTATGCTCATTACATTAATATTTTATCTATAATATGAAATAATCTATTACTTCAACTGCTATTTATAGGTCAGTCACAAGTCGGTAACTGTTTATTTGGGTCAAGATTGCATATTAATGATGATATGCATCATATTTCAGAATTTAAAAAGTTATATGTATTTGATGACTATGATATAACTATTTACTGTTTTATTTTTACTTATTCTTAATCAATAATTATTATTATAGTTGATCTTCTTCATTTTTCCTTCGTATATGTAGTGTGACATCCCCACTTTCACGGCCAGAAAAGACCGGTTTTGTTTATACTTTATTTCAAAATCACAGTAACCTTTTAATAAAAGAATTATGGAATTTGTCCCAAAATAATAATATGATAAAGATTTATCAAAACCATTTCCTTAGAAATGTATTTTTATTAAAAGACTTGGGATGTCATGTTCGATACAGTACATAAGTATAAACAGTACATTATAAGCCTTACAACAGTTATTTACAACTAATGGCCTATAATCCAAAAGTCCCTCATCATCATCATAATTATGCTCTAAGTCCACTACCTGTAAAACAGAAAACTGATTGGGTCAGGCTTGGGAGCCTGGTGAGCATATAGGGTTTTCAACCCACAAATAATAATAAATTTATTAATTTCATCGATCAACAATAAATTTATTAATTTCATCAAACCAACAATAACCCCGATTACTCATTCCCGTTATCCTCACTTTACGTCCCTAAACACCTATACAAGGGACCTAGTCTAAGGATTTTATCATCGAGATGGACACTACTGCTAAGGGGGTTCCTCAACAATAAATGTCCTAAAGGCAACCATGAGGGGGATGGAGTACACCGGTGAACACATCGTTCACAACACCTACAGGTTGTGAACATGCCAACGTTCCACTGGACTGTCTAGAAGAGTCCGTGGTCGTCATTTATACTCCACCAGATGACTGGAACAACAACAACAACATCGAGGCCTCTCATCATTTTAACACACATCAACTATTTTGTCTACCCATGTTTTAACCAACATATTTGTAGATAAAATACATATACAGTTTATAACTTGTATAAAACATTGTATTCAACAATCGTCTCAAATAAACAATCAATATAATTACACATAACATGTATTTTATAGAAAATACTTCATATCTATGTGTAAGATGCAAGTGACTATACACTCACTTGATTTGATGATAATCGGACAACAATTCGTTCCTTAAAATGATCGTTTCTGATAAAACCGGGAGTTTTATTAAGAAACCGGGCTCTGCGAGAGTTGGAGCTTCAAAACCAAAAAGATAAAAAATTTCGGGTTTTTGGGCACTTCGGGACGTATTTCGGGCTTTAAAAATGATATCAGGGCTTCGGGGGAAGTCAAAATAGTCAAAATATAAGTTTAGGGATGAAAAATGTCAAATTTCTAAAAGTAGTCGGAAAGGCTCGCAGCCCCCCTTTATATAGGGTGCGAGGCTGAGAGCTTTTGGCTAAGGAGCTTCCACATAGTACCTGCGAGGTTCGGACACGGAGGGAAGAGGTGACAGCGAAGGGACGAGGCGCGTGGCAACAGCGAGGCGAGACACTGAGGCTCGTTACGAGGCTCGGACGTGGCCGTGCGAGACTCGAACACGCGGCGGCTACGAGGCGTCTTCGGATTGGCCGAGACTTCGGTCCGAGAGAATAGCGACATGCGTCGGATCCGGATTCGGCCACATCTTCGGTGACGCGACAGCTTCGTGCGAGGTGACATGGCGACTACTGTTCATGCGAAATTTTTCGAATTTTGAGCCCCGAACTTCTAAAATCCATAACTTTCGCATACGAGCTCCGTTTTTTACGTTCTTTCTATGCACGCGTAGCTAAAATTACGCTCTACAACTTTCGTTTAGACTTTAATTTTAATATTATTATTTTTATCAGAGCGGGACAGGAAAACCCGTTAAAAATTCATAACTTCTTCATCCGACGTCCGTTTTCGTCAGTCTTTTTACCGTTGTACTACTATTGACGACACCTTCGATTCTCGTTTAGGTTGTGTCGGCTAAATATTGCTCGATCTTAAATTCGAGTATTTAGCTGTCTACTGCTAAGCTAAAACTTAGAAAAATTATAACTTCCTCATTCGAAGTCAGATTCGGACGGTCTTTTTATCAAAATTCTCGGTTTAACGAATACTATGACTTCCGTTTAGATTGTTAAGGCTAAAAAGCACTTTATCGCAATATTCACTTTTTACGCTTCCCGGTGCCGTGCCGGTTTCGTCGCGAAACTTCGACAGGTCATAACTTCTTCGTTATAACCCGGATTTCGGCGTTCTTTACATCTCCGGAATCCTTTTTTTGGCCACTAAAACTTTCTTAAAAGATATCGGATTTTTATAATATTTATTTTAAATGCTTATTTTCATTATTAATTAATTAAATCATAATAATTAAGCAAATAAGCATATAATTCACATAATATACACATAATTCCTCTTTATTACTTCAAAATGAGTTACAAAGGTTGACCTAGACTATTACAACTATAGTAATGCTTTTAGCCCAGAAACACGGACGTTACAATTCTCTCCCACTTAGGATGATTCCGTCCCCTGAATCACACATCAGCAAACAAATACGGGTAGCGACTCATCATGTCACTCTCCGTTTCCCAGATGTGATTTGGCCCATTCGTATGTTTCCATTGCACAAGCACTAAATTGACCATCTTGCATCACAACTTTTTAGTCTTACGGTCAACGATTGCCTCTGGTTCTTCGATTAACCTCTTGCTTTCATCCAGCCTTAACTCAGATATTGGAATTATGCCGGGAACATCTCCCCTGAACTTCCTTAAATAACACACATGGAAAGTGTTATGAATACCATCTAGTTCTTCTGGTAGTTCTAGCTTGTAAGCTTGATTCCCAATCCTCTGAAGAACTTTAAATGGTCCAGTAAACCTTGGACTCAACTTTTCTCATTTACCAAATCTTATAAGTCCCTTCCATGGTGAGACTTTAAGCAAAACCGAATCACCAACTTCGAATGTTATCGGTTTTCTTTTCTAGTCAGCATAACTCTTTTGACGATCCTGAGCTGCTAACATCCTTTCCCTGATCACTTTCAACTTTTCAGAAGTCTGATGGACTATCTCAGGTGCCATAAACTGCTTTTCTCCAGCTTCAAGCCAACAAGACGGCGTACGACACTTCTGTCCATACAAAGCGTGATAAGGTGCCATCTTTATGCTCGAGTGGAAACTATTATTGTAGGAAAATTCGACTAAAGGTAAATGTTCATCCCAGTTACCTTGGAATTCCAAGGTACATGCTCTCAGCATATCTTCAAGTGTTTGTATTGTTCTTTGGCTCTGACCATCAGTTTGTAGATGGTAAGCTGTACTTAAACACAACTTGGTACCCATTTCCTCTTGTAGACTTTTCCAAAATCGTGACGTGAAACGACTATCACGATCTGATATAATTGTTAGAGGAACACCGTGAAGTCTCACAATTTCCTTCACGTAAGCATTCGCAAGCTTATCCATAGACCATTTTTCATTGGCTGCTATGAAGTGTGCACTCTTGGTGAAACGATCCATGACCACCCAAACCATGTCATGACCGCTTTTCGATATGCAGTAAATTAATAAACTTTTAAGATTTCCTTTTGACTTGGCCACTAAAAAATTAACAAATATCAGCACCATATATTCAAATTGCATATGAAGAAGTAAAAAAAAAGGACTGGACTTGAAAAACTTTCTAGGATACTCTTGATGATGAGAATGATAAGGACATTCATGACATTTTTCACAAAAGAAAGAAGGGCATAATGGTTAGATGGTCTTTTTGGAACACGTAAAGTAGGTAAGAGTTTTAGATACCTTCAACTGCTTCCTCGGCTACTTTTGAATGTTGTTTGACCAAGTCTTCCTTGATACTAATATTTCGAAGAGCTACTGATAGTTTCTGGGAGAAAGTCTTGACACCACCCTCAAGTTCTTCCTATGGTATTTCAGACTTTGATGTGACTTCGGGTGACAAGGAACTTTGATTTGAATATATCTTTTGAAGCTTCAGAAACCAAAAGTATAAGATTTTAACCAACACTTGAAAAAGCATAAATCAGGGAAGAAAAATATAACAAAACCAAGATATCCTAATTGGTCTATTTCAAAAAGATTTATGAGGCATTAATTAATCTTGAATTATCTAAGAACAAAGAATACACACATTATATTGTTTCCGTTGCAAACATTAACACAATTATGACTTTGAAAGTAAAAAACGAACGTATTGCTTTCCAAATTCAAACTCAATTCGCAATTATAAATGTTAGAACAAAGTTCTATTAGGATCGTATGATTCTAAGCAAGATATAAAATAAGAACACTAGTATTGCACTGAATGTGTCGAATGATTAATGCAAATAACACCTCAGAAGAGCTCGATAAAGAACTTCAATCTGTAGAGGCGTTTAGGGTTACAAAACTCAACGTAATGAAAAACTTATCAATATACGCATACATGCATGCATATATATATATATATATATATATATTATATATATATATATATATATATATATATATATACTATAACCCTAGCAATCAATCTAGATAACTACGTAACTAATCTAGATAGACACCGATGGACAGGCCCAATCCGGATTACAAAACACTTAGCCCAAGAAGCAACACAAATATACTCTAAAATCTCCCCCTTTGCATCCTTGGAGCAGAAACTTCATTCCCTTTTAACAACAGAAGGTTTCTTCACGGTTTTAAACACCTTCAGTATAATGGCCAGAATATGATGTCGAAACGTAATATACCACCGAAGCATGTCTGTGAAGTTCTTCTTGTCAGCCACTGAGTTTTGCTTGCAGCGATGAATGATATTTATGATATGCTCCAAGCAATCTGTTGAAAACATATGCTTATCGACCAAAGCGAACAGAAACTTGTGTCTATCACCTTTAGTGAACATAACTGTTAGA